TTACCTTTTGAACTAGCACGTTAAATATCTGGCTCAGCGTGTCGGTCTAGTACAAAGCAGGGTTTATATTTTGGACATGTTCTCGTCCTAAATATGCATTTAATTTGTCGCTTAACATTAAACACTATCTATAATCATCATTCACTTTCTCTTAAATGTTATATGTTATTCTAGATCTTCACAGGGGATATGGGCTCATATTTCCTGTCAGTGCTTTATATCTCCTGTGAGGCTCAAATGATAATTATATTAAACTGGATTGTCCATGATTTCCACTTATTACCAGTTTTATCTTTGTTTTCCTTCACATGGGATTTGGGATCATATAACCTGTTTTGGTACCTAATCAAATTAGAGGATTAACCAGGATATTACATTCCAGTATAATATACATCATTCTTTATTGAAATGTTATACAGAAAAAAAAATGGATATAAAAATACAGTAATGTATAATTTAGAATTTGGACAAATTACAGGTATTAACTAAGTGTATCTTTCATAACGTACTAATGTTTAACGAGGTCGGGATAAGGTACAGGTAATTTCTGTAATCAGCTTACAAATGTTAAAGTTTGAAATAAAGTTAATGCAATTTTAAACAATTTTTATAACTTGATTATTGGTCATTCTACTGTTTAACAGAGGCCTTAATAAGGACCATTATGCATGTTATATGTAAATACAATATCAATATCCCCACCGTTTTTTTTTTAAATCTCTCAAATGAATGAATAATCATAAAGCGAATAAATTACAAAACCTAACATCACTCATATGAACACTGATTTTCAGGTAACTACTCGTTTCAAAAACCAAATACAGAACAAACTCTACTTCTGCTTTTGTCTGAAGTTATGATTACATCGACTACAATCCAGATGCTCCTTTCACAGAAAAATTTTACGATAAGAGTTAATTGTAAGTTATATTGATATTTTTCTCGTAAGATATTTTGTGAAATGTGTCGCAGTCCCATCTCACAATGGTACAAATGGAATTTCATTATTTATACCTAAATGTTTTTTTTTTTAATTTCAATGAATCAAAAGGATTGGTTATATATAATTAATTTCTTCTATCTTCACCTTCAGAAACATTTCTTTCATTCTTTCATCGTTTTAATTAAAATGAAGCACGTCTCCTTTTAAATTCTTGAATAACACTTAAAACTGAGTTTCATGATTTCTTATGTTTCTCTTCACCAGCTACCCAAAATATTAATATATTTTAATCAACCAATTCATTACCGTACATTTAAATTCGTAAATGCTGAATTGTAGAATGGATTAAGGTTGGTAGTACTAGACAAATTATTGGAGGTGCTCCATTATGAGTTATTGTCTGGAATCCTTATCATAACGGGATAAAAATTTGTAAAGGAGCAGAAACCTGTGTCTTGCCTACAATTGCTGCTGTCAGTGTAAAAGTGTAATGTTGACTTAAAAAGTGAGTCCATTTATCAGTAAAATACAGAATGTTAAAAAAGATTCAAGTTTTCTCTTTAGATGCTATTTCTTGGTCTTGAAGATTAGCTTCTGTCCAAGTTTCATAACAATCCATGAAGGTTAACGAACTTATCATGTCAAAAAAATTTAATCCCAGACTGTCAGTAAATGTAAACTGTAAAAAGAAGTCCATCTATCAGAAAAATACTAAAAATGAAAATATATTTTCAAAAGTGTGCTTCAGACATTATCTCTTAATCACAAAGTTTCATAAAATTCTATGAAGGTGTGAGAAAGTATTTAATGTGTAACACAATTTAACCACAGACTGCATCTATTTGTTAAATGTAAAAAAAGAAGTCCATTTATCATTAAAATACGGAAAAAACAAAATAAATATTTTCAAAATTTTGCTCTGGATACTGTATTTTGGTCATAAACAAAGCTACTGTCCAAATTTCATCTAATTCCATGTAGGTTTGACAAAGTTATTGATGTCCAAAAAAACTTTAACCACAGACTGAACCTAAATGTTGACGCCGCCGACATCGACGCCGCCGACGACGACGGAATCTAGGATCGCTATGTCTCGCTTTCGCGAAATAAATTTCGCAGGCTCGACAAAAATGAACTCAGTGTTACGTTATCTTATAGATAAAACTCACAATAAATATCTGTCTTATAGTTGTAATCACCAGACGCATGTTTCGTCTACAATAGACTCGTTAGTAACGTTCGAATAACCAAAAGTTAAAAGGCTAAATAAAGTACAGAGTTGAAGATACAGTTCTGCTGTTTGTTTCAAGAATAAAGAAGCATGTTTGTTCTTGGTACTGACTTTATCATCAAGAATATCAAGCAATCCCATTAGGGCGAGCTAATATTCGGGCTTATGAAGTCTGTATCAAAAACAAAAATGTCATTATTCTTTTTTTTTCGGCAAAATAAGAAATAGTATGGAATAGTAAGTAAAACTAATTTTAAGCGTTAAAAACGTTGTGATACTTGTTTGGTTGTATGAACGGAGCCAAGTGAACTTCACTGATAAATTTAAGCGGATGGAGATGAAGGCGTGACGTTGTTGCACTGATGTGCGACATCATTGCCTGATATTTGCGAGTATCAGGTCCTGTTCGTGATCTAGAAAAATATTAGGCAGTTAGATCAAAGGAAAAATGTACAAATTGCCAATAAATAGCAGTATCGTACCGAAATAAATATTTAAAGTTTACCTGCATCCCCACTATATCCACTCACATTCAAAACGTAATTTGTTGCTTCATCTCCTACACTGAAGTTGCTGTACTGTGCGTATCTCGAATTCCCTTCAAAATCTTCAAGGTGAATGTACAGCCTGTACTTTGCAGTAGATGTAATAAGGTTTATGAATTTATTTCCTATTCGAAATTGAAATGAAATTGCATAAAAAATAAAGAGAAATCAAGCAGCTCAGTATATTTTGCCGAATCCTATAAATTGTAAAGCACGCTGTCAAAATGTGAACATGTCTGGTCAATTTTTTTTTCTTTATTTCTGAAAGCAACTCCATTTATTAAAACATCCTTATCAGGTACATCTCTCAACGACATGATGAAGTCCAAATTGCGAAACTTTGGAGCCTAAACAAATTTAATTAACGAAATAGTCTATATTGGTTGATTTAAATTATCAGCAATTGTAAATACACCAAGAAATCAGAATGTAGAGTGTTATTTTTAAGTTCGCAAATCTATGCGATATGTTATCAGAAGAATATAATGCTTGTTAATGTTACCTGTTTGCAACAACCGTTCATGATAAAAAGCCAAAAGCTACAGACGTGAATTTCAACTGAACAGAAAGCGTTTCCACATTATCACATTGTTTTTCAAAATGAATGTAATACCATGTGTTAAAGAAGTGTCTGCTTTGTTTCAGTGTCATCAATATTGTCTGCTGAGATTATATGAAAGTTTAATTTTTTATGCAAAATTAACTGTTTTGGGTAAATTTTAATTGGGTTGTACAGCTGAATTCTAAGTATCTTGAATTTGGAGCCTGTAATTCAGTGGTTGTCGTTAATAGCATTGTTGTCTTCTTTCTTTGTTTGTTTGTTTGTTTGTTTATTCTTTATTCTTAGCATCCACACAGAAAGGCAGTTATTCAGTTAATGAAATACTAAATATCTATATATATAAGGCGTACATTTATTTTCCCGCGTGCGCGCAATTATATTTTATTCTATTTAAATCGTTCAGGTGTTTAGTGACGTGTATATGAAAATGTGCAGTGACGTGTATTAGAAATGACGTCAGTCTCAGTCAAACGTCATAATGAGTATGATGAAACAGAAAATTGAATGAATGAAATAAATGAACTGATGAATGACAAACCAACATTTAATTATACACATAAATACGACAGTGACAATGCAGTTGGTTGTCCTCTTTTGTCATCCGGGGACATTTCATAACAACTTACTATACCATAAAGGTTTCCTCGTTGTTATTTTTACTTTGGAAAGTATTTTGAAATATTAATTTCAAAACCGGATACACAAACCTAAAAAAGGTGACCACATAAATAATTACATAATTAAATGGATTATAAGATAAGTACCCAACCAAAACTCAGATTTCAAATTTCCGAATCCAATCCTGTAATCAGACCATCTTCTGAAAAAATCGATAGTGCCATTTATTCTCCTTTGGAAAACCTATAAGTATAAGAAAATTATAAATACAAAAACATAGTATGTTAAAATCAAGGAAAACTATCCTATCGCCTTTTTCAAACGAATTGTTAATTACATTCACTGCTGATAAAATGTTAAATATAGTGTATTTAATTTTATCAGCAAACAAGCGAATCAAACTCATAAACGGTAAAAAACGAAACAAAAGATCGTATGACATTTTCAATGCATGACTAAACGTGAAAATGTACATTATATAAATTAAACATTTGTTGATTCTAATAATTCAATATGGCGGTTCAAGATATATCAATTGAAATGTATTGGCTCAAAGAGATTGCATTCGAATCAAGAGTAGACTTCTTCTAGTAAGCTTTTCAGAATGAGAATCAGTTTATGAATATCGTAAATATAACGACAGCGGCCATAGTGTTAACAAAAAGGGGGGGGGGGTGATCTCAGGTGCTCCGCAAGGGTAAACATAAATTTCAAGAAAAAGATCAAGATATGATGCATACATTCCTATAAAATCATAAAACAAAATATTTAAATTCCAAGTCAATCTGTGAAGGTTAAAGTCTGAAATAAATTATTTTAGAATTGCAAATAGTATATGTAGTATATGATTGTGGTTGCACGTAAAGCAAAAGCAACAGATAATCACAATATTATAAAACCAATAAATTCCGTACCAATAAAATGAGACGTTTACGTGTCATAGTTTATCGTTATTACATTCTACATCTCAATACTTGGAAAAGAGCACATCAGATACAGGTTACTCCAGTAACGCGTGTTTGTGCACGGACATTTTTGCATATGTGTTATGTGTATCTGTAACAATAGTTACCTTAAATGTTACATATTCACTTCACTTACTGTCCATCCAAATCCTGCTGTTTCCATGTCACAATAAACTTCTAACTTTTGATCATTTGGATCAATTGTATAAACCCCTGAAACACCTCCCTGTGAAATGTCACTGCAGTCATTTGGAAGAAATCCTGTAAAATATGAACAAAATGTCATTTTTTTCGTTAATGACCTATCAATCTTCTCTGTAGAAATTAAAACATTGTTTAAGGTTTTTTTCGAAGTAAAAAAATTGGAAAATAAATAATTGATCCTCGACATTGTATGAAATATACATATACATACGGAAATTAGTACTTAAATTCTTAATGCAAGTTTTAATGATTGTAATACTGATACTGTCGCATTGTTCGCATAAATAAAAACATCGCATTTATATCTGAATTGACAGTTTTCAGTATTCTCATTTATTTGTTATTATATAAATATACTTGGAGACCGGTCATATCAAAGACTTAATGCTGACCTTTATTTTTCGTTTGGTTGTTGCACATTGACATATACGCCACACTTCCCCTAATTCCTAGCTAGAGTTTAGAACGTCGTAAATATATATATGACATCCCATTTATTTTTGTAAAGAATTAAATCAAATTACTGACTTTAATTCATTTAATTTTTGTTCTTGGTAAATTGTAAACACGTAGTAGTGAATCATGCATCGCAACTCATTCGCTGGATTGGTCAGTGACCCAGGTAAAACAAATAGAGTATTATGTTAGCAAACAAATGTATTGGCTTAATTATGCATACTGGTATAAGGTAAAGGACCCAACCTGTTAAATATAAATATTTGATATTTTCAAATAAGAGCTACCAACTCACCTTTGTCTTTGCATGAGAACATCTTATTCCATTTTCCATGTTCATTACATACTATGAAGGGACGTCCTATCATCAAAAACCCTGCTTTACATTTAAATTTATTTCCAGCTTTAAGATTCCTGTATAGGCCAAACGTTTCAATACAAGTAGCATTATCTGCGATTGGGACAGAATCCTTATAATTTGAAAATGATAATGATGAAATGGGATATTGAAAAAATGTTAAAGAAACTGTCATTATAAATAAGTAAACAGGAGCATGAGTATCACAATCTTTTCCCCTTTTAAAGTTATCTTGGAGTTCAGTATTTGTGTAAACCGTTTTTTTTCCCTTATATCCAAAAGTATAAAAGTGTTCCAATAAAGTAATCCTATATATTATGTAAGAAAAATTCATATTGATATAGAAACAAGTTATTTTTCTATTCTGCAGAACAAGAATTTTACATGTAAACATTTAACTGAAATTTTGAAAGGAATAGAGCATGAAAATTTTGAAAATAAATAGACAAATTTGAAAATAATTTATGAACTCTTTTAAAATTGTGTATTCTTGAAGAAAACATGTTCTAGAGTTAAATATAAAACTATCAGGGTTAATATATCTAAAATAACTTACAAACGGATGAACAGTTATTCCCACCAGTTTTAAGTTTTTGCACATTTTTCTCCGACAAAGCAAGTGTGGTCTGCGCATGATCCCACTAAAGACTGTACACAGATAAACATGAGTATAGAAATTGCTCAATGAAAAGACTAGTATCCTTTTTCATAACCAAATGGATTGTGGAAAGTGATTTCATATTTGTAACCTGAAAGTTTGTATCTGGATGTATCAAGATGGATGGTACAGGTATGTATCATTGCTGGAGATGGTTCTTAAACTATCATGTCGACGCACCTGATTGTACATCGTTTAAAGTTCAGGCGATTTTGATTATTTTCAACCACGAAATTTGTTTATGTATCTATATATCATACATTTACATTTATTTTCATTTTTTTGGCAATTCATATATTGTACAGTTATCTTTGATTTTATTTTTAGAATTGCAACAATCGGAACTTATATTCGGGATTGGCGAAAATAAACATTTGCAGAACTGAATAAATATAAAATTGAACATAATAAAAAAATCCTAGTAAACATACGTGAAAGTTAACATTTTGTAAAAAAAGAGCATTTCCCGGATTATAAAATGAATACCTTAGACCAGATTGATCGTTTAGTATAGATGCTCCCAGCTTCCACTTTCAGATTTTCTATGGCAGGTAATTCATTGCTCCGTTTCCAATTTTTCGTGTAAATCACAGCGACGCACCGTGATGTATAAAAGCATTCCCTTACACATTCTAACATACTGAGCTGTTGCAATCGTAGGAGTATATTAGATTGCTGACTTCTGTCGTGCTGCGGATACCCAATACCATCTATACGGTTAGGATGCTGGCATTCGATGTCATCTTGTTCACAAAATTCCTCCAATAGACATCTATTGCTGGAAGAAAATTAATAAAATTACGAAAGCCAAGCCTTTCTTCAATATTTTCATTACATATTTCATGACAGATAATTCTCCTACGGAATGGTTTTTCCTTTATTTAACAAAACGATCATGCATGGTTTTAAAGATTTTTCAAAAAGCACAGGATAGCGTTTGAATGCATTTGAATTGTTTACATCACTTTAAAAGTTTATTTATCGTTATGCATAACCACTTAATTATATATTATTGGAAGCAAGAATTCAGTTAAAAGGACCAAATTCAATGGATGTGTTCTATTTAGAAAGATATATTTTTCTTTTCGCAGACACAACATCAATCACAAGAAACTAGGAGGCAACTTTAAAAGGGGTATATATTTTTGCATTGGGAATACAATGTTTGGTCAAGGAGAGGAATGTTTTTATATGTATTAAATTTCTATCTTTTTTTGGGGGGGAGGGGGGTATCTCTTCCGGAAAAGCAAAAAACCTGAATATTTTTGTTGAGCTTAATAAGCTAATATTTGTTAATACGCAATTGCATTACTTCTATTCCACTTAAAGTTTGTTTATCGTCATGACTAGTTACTTAATTATTAATGATCAATATCAATATGTGCATCGACTTACATTTTCCCATGGTAATGATATGAGTACATCATTTGGAAAAACCATGTAGCACATCCAACCACAAACGTGTTGATATTGCTTATTTGTATATTAATAGTCCCCACATGAAAGGCGATATTTTCAAAATAGAAAATTGCTTGCATTTTATATCAAAGGTAATAATATGTTATGAAGCGCTATAAATTTTAACATTTTAAGAACTGAATTATTGATTGGAAGAAAAACATAACATTGTATTCTTTCAACTATTGTACAATTAAGCCGTCTACGCTTTTGAATAGATACAATTAAAACTTTGCGAGTGCAAAAAATTTATTTCATTATTTCACTCACATTACGTCACGGCACAAGATCTACCTTCTCAGTTTCATTCTAAGCTTTCCAATTGTTACATTGGTAGTGCATTTTACAAACTACCTGTTGTTATATTAAACAAATTATCCATAATGAACCAAGTGAAATTTTGATACACCATGCTTGAAAACAATTCAATTCATATTGAATACAGGATCAGCATCTGTAGTCAACAATAGGAAGCGAGGGCCGATTTCGCCTTAATTTAAGTATTTCAATGTTTGTCTAAAGTCACTGTATCACAAATTAATGTGTATATATGGCTAATTTTGAAATATCGCATCAAATCATTTACGCCCGAGAATATTTGACCAACATTTTGACAGATTCTAATGTCAAAAATCTTTATAAAGATCCTCCTTAACCAAAATCAAACTACTGATTGAAATTAAATATATATTGTCTTTCGAACAAATATTTTACGTAATTTTCTAATAGAGACGGCCTTTTTTTACTTTTGATATTTCTGTAACAACAAAATAGTATAACAAACTTCAGGGCAAATTCAAAAATGGGAATTCCATGAAAACTTACAAAATCAGACGTTATCAACCAACGGAATGAGTGTAAAACAACTGTCATATTTTTGACTTGGTACAGGCACCTGCCAAAGATTTTGGGTTAAACCTGGTGTTATAGCTAGCTAAACATCCCACTTTTTTATAGTTCCGTAGCAACATGAATAACATTTAAATTTTGGGGGAGTATTAGTAATTTTCTGAAAATATTTTAAGCTGTATCATATTTAATGATAAATAAAATTCCAGTAGGATATGATAACTTTGATATTTTGACCCTGTTAATTAAAAAAATTATAGGGGTAATTGGCCTTATATCTTTTCCACACTTGTTCAGTTCCGATACTGAGGTTTATTGAATTTCATTCTACCAAACGTGTTGGATAGCCAGAAATATACACAACTATATATCAATTACAAACCAACGATCATGTATGTGAATGAAACCCCAATATCAAATCCCTTGATACTGATTCATATTGCAGACTGGGCAAACATAGTTGTATCGAAATTGAACTTTAAAGTAGCTTTTAATTGCTGGTAGTTTCGTTGTTAATTTGTTAGATGGCTTTGTCCTGAGTATCGAACTGTTGACCTTTTCAACTGATTTTTACCGCTTGTTTTTATATATGGCTGATTAGACAACTACTTAAAGTGCATTTTTTATAACAATAAATGCAAATTCCAAAGATCGCATCTGCTCTTTTTAATAGCATTTCTTACAGTGTGGTTTACTACTTTTATGGCACATTATATCAAAATTTTAGAAAACTTATTAATCTGACTGGCTGGTATTTTACTTGAAAGATTTGCATCTTGGCAACAGAAATTGTAGAAATAACTTTGTTTACGAAATACTGACAAATGAGTATGCTTTCATCATGTTCATTAATAAAAAGAAGGAAGTTATATCCAAAGGTGTATTCGTCCTTCGCTCAACATTCTTGCAATCATGAGGTAACTTTCAAACATGCGAATGCTGATATATAAAATCGGAATCTTTTTCAGAATAAATATGACATGACAAGGTAAAATGATCTAATAAAACAAGCAGCTATATCAAACTCATAGTTACAAAAACAATTACAAAACCTTGATAAAAAAGTATAAAACAAACTGAAAAACAAACCAAATCACTACACATAAATTCAAATATTGCGGTTTCGATTGCTGGTTAAGATTTCAATGCTCCTCAACTTTCATCCGCTTTTATTCGAACG